TGTACAAGTGACCAAAAAAACTATAAGTCTGTGTGATAGATTCTGCACGCTTCGAAATGAGTTGAGTCTATGTGATATATAGATTCTGCACGCTTCGAAATTCTATGTGCCAAATTTTTAATCATTGTTGTTTGATTTGAATAAATTGTAGTATAATTTATTTTCAATCCAAAATAAGTGAGTCTGGAATCATAAATATACTTGAAATTTGTGATAATTTTTAAAAGCATTAATCATGTTTTAATATCATTTTCTATTGTAGATTTGGTTTATAAAGTATAATTTTTTTTTTTCAAATCTTTATTTTTTCCTCATACTTGTTTTTAAATTATAACAAACTTACTACTTAAATTACAAATTCATTAAATGTTAATAATTTTTTATTTATTAACAATTTTTTATGTATAATTATAATATATCAAATTAATCATGTCTTGTTGAACTTAGATTTGGCATTTCTATTATAAATATAAAATAAATAAATAATTTTATGTATCTTTATAATTAAAGTTAAATTACCTATCAATATTAATTACTACAAAATATAGTTATTTAAACTAACTTAAGTACAAAGTAGTTATCTCATATAAATTAAAAAAATATAATATAAGATGATAAATTGTGTAAGTGACAGTGTCATTTTTTATATATAAATAACAATATATTTTTTCAAAGAAGTATTACAAAACTAAAACAATTTTTGTTATTATTATTTAGGTTCAAAAATAAATTTCTTAACAAGTGTCCGTGTAGTATATATTTATTGTACTAATATATATATATATATATATATATATATTACGCAAATCTCACAGTATATAAAAATAGTCAAATATATTAATAAACCAGTAATTAGAGATCAAGAAACAATACTTATTCCACCCTTATTTCAATTCGTTAAGAAAAATGAATAATTTATTCCATCATTATCCATTTAAATCTTGTAGTTTTGTGTGTGTTTGTGAATGTTAAGAACTAGTGAATGTAGACTATAACACGAATTAAAGTCTAGGCAAATAAATGTACTCTCCTTAAAACAAAATAATCTCGTATATTATTCATGTTTTATAGCTAAAGCCTCAAAGATGCAACAATTTTTGACTTGTGTATAAAGGTAACTTAAATACGCAAATCTTTAGCATACAATACTCAAGTTTCATAACTCTCAAGATAAATACGAACACAAAGAAAACAAGATGCCTTATGAAAATTATAAAACGGTGTAAAGAGCTGTTAAAAATCTTATTAGTTGAATGATATCACTTCATGGGTGTTCATGGATGTGCTTGAACATCTCCAAGTCGTGTGTTCTTCGCGCCGCGACGAGCCTTCACGCCCAACCAGAGGCTGATCAGGGTGACGCGCCCACGAAAGGATCTGGCATGAGCATGCGCGTCGGGAGCGCCCGTACGCACCCGTCTGAACTCGGAATTGTGTTCTGTTTTTTCCTACTCATCTACCATGAACCCTTCTAGGGTTCTATCATCCATACAACATGCGGGATCGTTTGGATTGTCCAAACATTCGTTGAAGTCAGAACATCTATGAATTCACAATCTTTGAGTTACATAAACTCAATTTTGAGTTACACAAACTCAAATACCCTTACGTTTCAATTATAGAATTAATTTCTCATTAAACTAAAATAGTTTTAAGATTTTATTCTAATTCTTCTACTTACCAAAAGCAGAGCCGTAGAATCAATATAAAACCTATTTCTTACAAATTTGTTGCCAACGTTTATACATTTGAATAGAATTATTTACGAATTCAAGAATTATTATATGTTTATGAAAAAATAAATTAATTGAGATGTGATTTGAACAAATATTAAGGAAATAAATTAATAAAAATGAGTGAATCTACCAATTATGCGTTGCACCTCTGATATCGTTGTGTTATTTTCTTAATATAATAGTATTATATGTGTTAAAAAATATAATTATTTACCCAAGAGCGCTTGGATGAGATGACTTGGGTCTCTTCCAGCTTAACCAGTGGTCTCGTGTTCGAGCCCTGGGAATGCAACAGTGTTAAAACTCTTGAGGGAGAGCTTTGCCGCCCTTGTGGTCCTACTCGGCTCGATTTCGAATTAGTCAGTTCTCATCTGGATCCGGAAACCGGAAGATCCCTATGCCACAAAAAAAAAAAAAAAATATGTACCAAAAACCGAAAGGTCCATGTACCAAACCGGAAGGTCCATGTGAAACAAATATTTACTTTTGAAGTCCTTTTGATCAATGCCGACAACCGACACCTTTCCTATAATTGTGTCCCATTATTCATATTACTATAATGTATTTTATTTAATTTTTTAAGGTTCCAAAGAGTATTAAATTGTTTTATTTGGTACATATTTTAGTTGGTTCATCATGCGTACGCAGAATTTCACTAAGAGGTGTTATTAGTAGTAGAGTATTTACTATAAAAATATGTGGCATTTTATCCTCAATCTAATTTCAGGGATATATTATGGTCTCGTTACGAAACTATTCCGTTAAGATTAGTAACCGTTAGATTATCCTGTAGTTAATATATGATAGTTGATCTAAGGGTTATAAACCCAACAAAATGGTTCCGTAACCAAACCATAACATTTCTCCTAGTTTCATAGTTTAAGTATGAGAGTGCCAAAAGTCGCTCACTCTACACAATAATGTCTTTCCTCATCGAGTGAGAATTTGATGAATTGAGTTGGACCATATGAATCATTGCTCATCAAGTGATAAATTGCAGTTTTGCTTTTTTTTTTT